ATACCCCCCCTGCCTCTGCCCCCTGCCCCCTGCCTCCCCCCTCCCCCCCCCCGGAAAAAAACTATTTTTTTATATACATTTTCAATTTTAATTTTTTCATCTGTCGTTTTACAGGTTCGAAATTTTACAAGTTCCAAAGTTATGAGTTTAGAGGTTTATGTGTTTGAAAGTTTATAGGTTTAGAAATTATAAAATTTACGGGTTCGAATGTTTGCGGTTTTTACGTAAAAAAATAAAGCAACACATTAGTTGCTTTGGGTTGCGTCAATTTTTAGAGACTTGGGGAAGGGGTGGGCGAGGGGAAGGGGTGGGGGGGAGGGGGAGGGGGAGGGGTGAGGACTCTAACCAAACAATAGAAAATATTTTCCGGAAAATATTTTCCACTCATCAACCAAACAAAGAAAAATAAGTGATAAAACCACTCATTTTCCATGAAAACATTTTCCATAGAAAACATTTTCCTTCATACCAAACACACCCCTTATCTTTTATTAAAATAATAAAACCCACTATGGATGCATATGTTAGTTGCTAAGTTTCTTGAAACTTCGGGTCGGAAATGCAATTTGGGATTGATTGCTCACCACTTTACTGCTTGGACTCATTTGAATGCTGCAAAAAGGTTGTACAACAGTGTCCTAGAGTAGCTATAAGTTTGGTGAACAATTGACTTTTGTTTCTTCAGTTTAGTTTCGTTATTTTTGTTTACTGGGTTTGGCTTCTTGTTTCACGCATCGTTACTGAAATTTTGGTAAAATGTCTATGAAATTATAAAAGAGAACTTGTTCAGGATTCTTCTCGAGGTGAGGCATCCTATGCCTAATGTCTCATAGGGCTGACAACCTCGATACATAGGTGATGTGTTAGTACAATTCATGCTTAATACCATGAGTTGTTGGTTGTCCTATATGCCCCAAAATGTCTTGTGCATATTTTACGTCTTGAATTATCACCTTAGATGTTCAGGTTAATTTCTATTTCATTATGTATAACTTAAATAGTGTATTGTCCTACATATAATTAAGAATTGGTTGCTCATCATATGATTAATCACATATATGCTTAGATAGTTAAATGAAAAATCTCGCATTTTCATTCTACTTTCTTCAATTTCTAATATTCTTTAAATATTATTTTCATTTTCAGGTAAATTAAAAATTAAAAAATAATTTGTTTCATCTCATAGTAGGTAAAACACCTCACTATGCGCCTCCACTTCTGAACAACAAGGAAAAAGAAGTGATTCATCTAGATGCAAATTAGAAGTTCAAAATATGTAGTCCCAAAACTCTCTATCTCCACAACTAAAAAATAAATATAAAGAAGGAAACATATGAAATAGATTAAGAAAGAACATAGTACAAAATGTTGCAGTACAACTTATTGGTAGTAATTGGAGCTTGAATGATAAAAGAAAATTCAATTATGTAGTTGTTCTCAGTTTCATTTTTTTAAGGAGGAAGTAGGCTAATAACCTATATCCAATGATCATCACCAACATTGCTCCTACTTCAACTCCACCAGACTCAGGGACAACTGATCCATACTTTGAACTTCCCAAGGAGTTATACTGAATCTTTAAGAGAAGTCTGTATGTGTGATAGTTAATAGAGATATACCGAACCCATGAAATGAATCTTGGAACTTCCTGCAATCACAAAAGTTAAGTCACAAACAATTAAAATCATTGAAGGGAGCTTTGGCGTAACTAGTAAATTTGGAGCCATTTGACAAGGAGGTCACGGGTTCGAGTTGTGAAAACAGCCTCTTGCAAAATACAAGGTAAGGCTGCGTACAATAGACCCTTGTGGTCCGACCCTTCCCCGGACTCGGTGCATATCAGGAGCTTAGTGCACCGGACTGCCCTTTAAACAATTAAAATCATACATTATAATTGGTTGATGTGATGACCTTTTTTTTAAGGTGCACATTGCAGCTGATATTGACAAACTCTTTCTTACCCTACTCCATTTATTGTTCCTGAAAAGTTAGAGTGCCTTTTCTCTACAGCCTAATGGGATCTAGACCATTCAGATAGGGTAGGGGCGTGGTGCAAATTGTACATAATAAGTAGTACTTGCTGCTAGCAAGGACGTAGCTACGTGGTCCAAAGGAGGTTCAATTGAATGTTATGTCGGAAAATAACGCTGTGCAAACATATATAAATTATTGAATCTCTTTGACATAACGGAAGCATCTCAGTAATTAAGTTAGTGACAGTTATAATAAACCTAACATTAACGTTGATTTATCCACTTGTGAAGGTGATCCATCTGCTTATAAAACGTTACTTAATAAGTGACCTTTTACTTAATCAAGAAGAAATTAATTTGTTTTTTCAAAATTTTTCTTTATTTACATATCCCAATGTGTCAAGTTAACAATGTGCAAATTTTAATTATGGGTATATTAGGCAAAATACCTATTTTGTTTTCTAGGAGTTAGTATTTAAGGAGTGTGCCGAAGATCAAAAGGTCACTTATTACGGACCGGAGGAAGTATTAATTACCTGGACAAAGAATCCTCCAGACAACATGAATGTCATGAGAGTAACAGAAGCAAAAGTTGTTGCTTTTTTCACATCCATGAATGCTGCACCTATAGCCAAACCTAAGCCCTGAACAAAGGTAACATGAAATGTTATATCAAAATAGTATGCTACAATATAGTAATGATTGGCAAACAAATTTAACCTCTAACCTGAGCAGCAATTATGCAGAGTAAAACAGTGACCAAAGTTAAAGAAAATGCAGGGAATGTCAGCTTCAACCCAACCATGAAATATACAATCGCCAAGAATACTACAGGCAAAACTATGTCCAGAAGCAAATCAGTAGTAATTCTGGCGACGAAATAGGCACTAAGCTTGTACATGTTCACTGATCTCTCTTTAACCAACATTGCCCTTTCTTGTGGGAATGTGAAGATTGCTGCAAATAGAGGAAAGAAAGCCCAAAATACTGAAATGAAGAACAATAGTCCTGCCTGCAAATTTTCCATACCAAATTTGTTAAAGAACTGGAAAGATAGAAACATGCTAGTTTAAAACAAAATAAGCATTTCATTACTTGCCTGATCTGCCACCTTTTCAGGAGATGAAGTGTCTGAATGCCACCATAGTAAGCCAACAATAATAGCTGTAGCTATGACTTGAATTATCCGAAGACTGCTGAAGTATTCGTGGCTTCGCTCCTTAATACCTCTTGTGAAAAGAATTGAAAACTGTTGGTTCCATGTTGCACCAGAATCTCTTAAATTAGGCCAACTCTGCTCTTCTGAATCTTCCTCTATTAGGCGATGGTTCAGGAGCTTTATTTTCTCTTCGTTGGCAACCCTTGACTCATAAGCCCCAACAAAATACTGAAATTTTTGGTTCTTTTAGATATATATTATCATATGGTTATTACAGAGAAGAAAAGAAGGCTGATCTGCTATACCTCATGAACATCAGCTGAGGAAGGTCCTTCATTTTCGCTCTTAAAATGATGGTTTCCTGGTAGAAACTTGTTCTCTAGATCTGAAGGAATAGACTTGTCTTTTATATTTCCATTTGCAAGATCAATAAGAAACTCTGCTGGATTCATTGCTATGAGGGGAGAACAACCAATTGAAGAGAAATATAGCATTGCTTCAGAGGCTTTGCCAGAATACATTGAGCAGCCTTGTCCCAAAAGAATCAGCTTATCGAATCTGCTGAATAATCTACTCGATGGTTGATGTATTGTTGTTACCACTGTCTTGCCAGCCTATAAAAAAAAAAAAAAAGAAGATGTTTTGTTCAATGAGACTTTTGAAAGCTAGTCTAAAATGAGACTACTCTTTCACAACGAGTACCCTGGCAATGTTGTGCAACGTCTGCACGATTCGAAGTGCTGTGGTTGAATCCAAACCAGATGTTGGTTCATCTAGGAACAAAAGTGATGGATTCAGAAGAATTTCATTTCCAATGCAAACTCGTTTTCTTTCGCCTCCTGAAATTCCTCTAACAAATACCCCTCCAATTATTGTGTCTTGGCACCTGAAATAACAACTTCAGTGTCCAACTTTACAAGGTATTACAATCTTAGAAGCATCAAGAAAGTTAAGCTAGAGTCAACTTGACATGACAAGACTGTTCATGTGAAATTCTTTTCTTTTTATGTAGTATAATCATCAAAACAACTAATAAAGAGAGCTTATTTTGTTGGTTAAGATAGAATATATCACCCTTAGAAGTAGAAAGAAGAACAATCATACAGTTTCTCACATTTGTTAGTAGAAAATGAAGAATTGTTACCTTTCTAGGCCAAGCTCATTTATAACACTAATAGCTCTCTCTTTCTTCTGTTCTTTAGTTAACTTATTGGGTAGACGAAGCAAAGCAGCGTATGTTAAGGTTTCTTTCACAGTGAGATGGGGAAATACAACATCATCTTGCAGCACAAACCCGATCCTGTTGAGTGATTATCAATAATTCTCCATTTGAACTATAATATTAGGATGGAATTTTTATCAAGAGTAGTTAGTGCATTTACCTTTGTTTCAGTGACTTATTATATGGCTGGTCATTGTAAGTAATCATTCCACTATCATTCTTTACCTTTCCACTCAGAAGCTTGAGTAAAGTTGTTTTACCACCACCTGAAGGTCCCATTAAAGCAAGAACTTCACCTGGACAGGCTGAACCACTCACTCCTTGCAGTATGCACTTTTCTGCATCAGAATGCTTTTCTCCCTTCAACGCCACTGTGTACTTCACATCCTGAAACTGCAAAACAACGAGAAAAATGTATTTATTAATCTTAATCCTTATATGTTATAAGAAGTTGAATGTTCATAAGAGATCCATGCATTAACCACCTTAAGACGTATACGTAATGTTGGCTCAATTTGTATTCTTCTCCAGCTGCATGAATCTTCATCCTCCTGATCCATAGTGCATGATGTCTTCACTTCCATGATATTGTTCTCTGAACAATAAAAATTGTCAAAGAAATCACATACATAAAAATGGCAACCTAGCCGCTATTGAGGCTGCTATATTTTATGTTCTGATGCATTAATGATTTTCTTACTTTTTCGCGTGTTTTCTAATGTCACGTCATCAGAGATGCTTTGTGAGGTAATGGAGGATTGGTCGTAGGGGAAAATTCCCATATTTCCACTTGAAGTCTTGCTTATAAGTGCACCTTTTTCGTTATCATCATCGCTCATTATCTCATCTATGTTTATTAGAAAATGAGAACTAAATGATCTTGCATGATGCAGAGATTTTCCGTGTATTGGTGATTCCTTTGCAAAGTCCAGGCTTCGCATCTTTATTAAGCCTTTCTTAGTCTTTTTATTGCCTTCTATTTTACTTGTGCAAACTACATAGTTGGTTTTTTCAGATGGGAAAATCTCATCCTCATCGATATTCTGCATGATAACAGCTTCATTATTGTCAATGCTCTTGGAGAGAACTAGTTGTTGCTCCATATCTTGTGGTTGGTTGGCCTTCAGACTGTGAACTCAACTGCATAAAGTTATTAAGGGAACAATAAATAAAGAAGAAAGATAATGTATCAGATTAAACATATAATGCAGAGTTATTTACAAAAAACTCTTTTCATTACAACATTAACAACAAAAGTGAAGATATGTCTAAGACAATCTAGGACAAAAAGAAAGAGTTAGTTAGTTTTGCAGCAGAGAAAGAGAGCAACCTGAGCAAGATTTGTTGAATTAGAAGGTTTACTGTCACTTGAGTTTTCTTGTCATAAGTTTATATAGACCTTTTTTTGAAGTGCCAATGGTGGTGACAACATTGGCATATTAATTTTTGTCTCAATTAATGCATCTTTCAATCGTTCAGGAGTAGAATATGGAACTCTACTAGTACATTTGATGTTTCTTTTTCACAATGTCTAGAATGCACATTTTGATTGGTTCTTCCATTTGCTAGCTTAGACTCATTTGGCTTCATTTGGAATTCCCTAAAGCTAAAGTAATTCAACAGTAATTGGCATACAAAATCACCATACGATTAGAATTTTGTCACGTCAATTTTAACTGAATAATGATGACATGAAATTTTACCCTAAACATGTTTCGTATTGGCCATTCCAGTTTCCCAAAACAAGTAGATCCAACTGTAATTTGACATTTTCTGAAATGCACCATTCCAGCCCTTCCTGAGACGTATAGCCCAAACTTTTGTCCACAAATCAATTCTTACAAGTCTAACTCATATAACTTATTATATTGACAAACGTAGCATAAAAGATCTTCACTGTCAGTATACAAAAGTTAAATGGTCAAATTTGTAAAATTTTAAGTAAGTGTTTTAACAGAAAAGCCTCTTCATAGCTAGGTTGATCTTGTAACGGTTGGCAAAGTATTTGTTGGGATTATTGGCACCAGGATGATATCATACAAAAAATCAATCATGGTGCAGTTTGTTTATTTCACTTACAATTCGAAATGCTACTTTGTTTATGTCACCTACCAATTCTTTTGTTAGTTAGAGTACTATATCAATTGTACAACATATAAAATTAAAGAGAGTCAAAAGAAGGAGAGGCCATGCATGGCCGGTGCCCTTTAAGCTAGGGCAAAGGAAGAGCAGTGATCAATGGGTACATTTTCAGAGTGTTTTGGGTTATTAGAGCATGCATAGATGAGGTAGATTCATTCATATATTGCTCTCATGTCAGGAAGCAATAGCTGTCTGTCCGGATGTGTACCTTCTGTTTACTAGGACTTGAACAGTTTTTTCTTTTAATCTTTTGTTACTAAATTGTTACTATTACCTGTTTTGAATTGTGCTACACCTTTGGTCATATAACTCTTTCTCAAATAGCAACAGATATTCCTGTTGAAAAACCAGTCCTGGTTGAGCCAATGTTTAAATTTGAATAGAGAGTTTCCTAGTACCTGTGCCGGCGAAGGTAACTTGTACTAATAGTCTAGAGAAATGCTCCGTAATGTCTAGATTTTACATTGTAGAAGGATTGACGTTCACATAAAATAGACCAAATCCAAAAAAAATCTCTGAAGTTAATGTCCAGCAACTACCTTGTCATTTTCATCTAGCCTATTCAAATTGACCGATCAAAGAGCATGCCTTGTGGACACACGTTACCGGAACTCCCGTAAGTCATTTTCAGTCACTAAGACTCCTGTTTCCTTGGCCTTCACTGACTATTCATGGTTTTATGTATAGCAACCTTCAATCAGAGTTGCAGAATTCCTCGAGTAGTTCACACTATATGCAGTTTCTTCTAGTATTGAGAGATCAATGCAGCATTCTAATTAAACTTTTGTATGTCAAAATGTAACAGCTATTCACTACCAGCATTCAAGTATTCAACACCATCTAACATACTGTATTGGGAAAAATTGAGTTTACATATAAAGATGACGTGTCATGACACGTGGATCGATCAAGGAATTATGATTAGCAAAGAGGTACGAGTTGCAACAGGTACGAGCAGAGGCATGAAAAGAGGCACGAGCAGCTATTCGAAAGATTCAGCGTCCGTACCTATTTAAGTCTAAGAATTAAAGAGAATGAACCTGACTGTACAAAGGAGTACAGATACAGTACTTAATGAGCCTTTGATATTAAAAACGTTAGAGAATCTGTATTAAATACAATGATTGGGTAACGTAACATTTAATGCCTTTAATTGTCTATAAAGACCTTATTATGAAAAAGGCAAAACACATATCTCCAAAATAGCTATAAAAGAGGAGAGAATGGATCAATTGGAGGGACACGAAATATCAACTGAATATACTGAATTACTCTATTTTCTGTTACCTATTCTATTGCTCTCAAAGTCAATTATTCTTATTCATTTCTGATTATCAGTAGCCCCTGTTCTTCTTAAAATAAAGCTTTGACTGAAATTCTATTTTTTGGTTAAACAAATCGGTTCCGCTACCGGAAATCTGATAATCTATTCGTTTAGCTTAACTTTCCTTGTTACATCAACCATGTCGAACAATAATGACAACACTCAGGGAAATCAAGAAAACTAGCAACTTCGGGGGAATCAACAGGACAATCATACTCCTGTTCCTTCTCCACAAAGCTCTCCTCGACGGTCTCGAGAAGGCACTCCTGATGGATCCCATGCACATGGAAACGCTCAATTGGAAAATATTGAAGCTATCGATGAAGCTTTGCAAAAATTAATTACTGCACAGGTTAATAAAGCTCTTGAAGACTTTTCTAGTCAGTTACCTGTTGCACCACTCACACCCACTCCAAATAACAACACTTTGGAGAATCCTCGTTCTGGGCTTGTAAATTCAGGAAGTGGTGGGACCCCCAGCGAATCACAAGAAGGAATACCAGGTAATTTAGTCAATTCTGATCTACAAAATTTAGTACTAACATTGCAGAAATAGCTTAAGGAGCAAAATGACCGCATAGAGCAAATACCCGGGGTGCCTCCCGTGATCAAAGGGATAGATATGGATAAATATTCGCAACAATCCTGGAAGCCAAGTGCTGCTCCCCTCCCAATTCCAAAGAAATTTAAAATGCCTGATATTCCAAAATATGATGGAACAACTGATCCACGAGACCACGTGACTGCATTCACAACGGGCGTCAAAGGCAATGACATGACCAAACAGGAGATTGAATCCGTATTGGCCAAAAAATTCGGTGAAACACTCACTAAGGGTGCATTAACATGGTATTCTCTTTTACCGGAAAATTCTATGAATTCTTTTGCTGAGCTTGCAGATTCTTTTGTCAAAGCACACTCGGGAGCTGAGAAAGTTGAAAAAAGAATGAAGGATATTTTCAAAATCAAGCAAGGGGATTCAGAATTGCTCAGAGAGTTCGTAGACAGATTCCAACGTGAAAGAATGACATTACCGCGCGTACCTGACAATTGGGCAGCTATAGCATTCACAAGTAACTTGAATGAAAAAAGCTCAGAAGCTATGAGGCGACTCAAGGAGAGTCTTCGTGAATTCCCAGCGACGACATGGAATGACGTTTATAACAGGTACAGCACGAAGCTGAGGATTGAAGAAGATATTATTTCACGACATCAAAAAGAAGAAAAGGTAAGTTCGAGACGGGCAGAAACCGAAAAAAGGTCCAGTAAAAACGGGTATGAGCCATACATGGGACCTGCGGGAAAAGACTCACGGTCAAAGCAGGATAATCAGAGGTACGATCACAGATCGAGGAATAGAGAGTCAGGCTCGTCTTCAAGATTTGGGAATGATCGAAGCACATGTGAGTCACGAGATGATGATAGAAACTTAAAGGCGAGGTTTGGTGGTTATAATTTCAATGTGAGCACTTTCGAACTCGTGGCTGTCCTGAGAAGCATGGGAGACAAGGTACAATGGCCAAAGGAGATGAGATCGAATCCAAACAGGCGAAACCCTAATCATTGGTGCGAATTTCATAATGATCACGGGCATAAAACGGCAGACTGTAGGTTCTTGCAAAGTGAAGTTGATCATTTATTAAAGCAGGGGTATCTCACCGAGTTGTTCAGTGAGAAAGGTAAACAAGCATACATGAAGAATAGGCAGGAGCCCCCCAAACAACCTTCACCCAAAAGAACCGTCAATGTTATCAGCGGAGGAGAAGAAATCAATGGTGTGACGTATATCGCAGCCAATAAGATTTCCAAAGTAACGATTACCCACGGGAAGTGGTTCCGGCATGTTTTAGAAGAAGAAAATATTATGTTCGATGATGCGGATGCGGATGCGGATGGCTTATTAACACCACATAACGACGCACTGGTAATATCTTTACTTATACATGACACTAATGTGAAACGAGTTTTGATTGATCTAGGAAGTTCCGTGAATATTATTTTGTTACGAGTACTACACGAGATGCAAGCAGAGGATAAATTGGTACCAAAAGCGCATACTTTGTCAGGATTTGACAATTCCAGTGTTGTGACAAAAGGGGAAGTGATGCTTACTACATTCCCAGAAGGCGTTGTCAAAGATACGAAGTTTCAAGTAGTGGAGATGGAAATGGCTTACAACATAATTCTCGGGAGGCCATAGATCCACGATATGGATGCTGTTCCATCAACCTTGCATCAAGTCGATAAATTTCCAGTGCCATGGGGAATATGTCAAATCCGTGGAGACCAACAGGCATCCAGGAGCATCAACTCCGTGGCAGATTCAAGTGCGAGAAATGAAGAAAAATAGCAATTACAGAATCCAGTTGAGGAAATCATAACACCAACCTCAACTGAACAATGGAGAATAGATGTGGATTCAAGGCCCGATTCCATTCAAGAACTATAAGAAAATGAAAACATCAAAACAACAATAGAAGAGCTGGAGGCTGTAGTACTGTTTATACACTGGCCAGAAAGAAAAGTTTACATAGGAGCCAATCTCAGCGTGGATATGAAATGTAAGTTGATTGAATTTTTAAAAGCTAACGCGGATTGTTTTGCTTGGTTCCATTCTGATATGACAGGTATACCACCGGAGGTAGTGACTCACAAGTTAAATGAAGACCTATCTCATCCACCTATCAAACAAAAGAAAAGAAAGCAAGGTACTTTAAAAAATCAGGTGATTCAAGATGAGGTGCAAAAATTATTAAAGAATGGGTCTATTTGCGAGGTAAAGTATCCTAATTGGTTAGCCAACACTGTTGTGGTACCTAAAAAGAACGGTAAATGGCGAGTTTGTGTAGACTATACAGATCTTAACAAAGCTTGTCCTAAAGACTCTTTCCCATTACCTC